GGAAGGGTCCCGACCCAAAATGTCAACTTTCCTGCTCCTCTGATGCTGCCTGGCCTGCTGTGTTCCTGCAGCTCCACACTGTGTTATCTCTGACTCCAGCATCAGCAGTTCTTACTATCTCTGAGTGATATATTTCCAAACGATGTGGTATTGCAAATGGAACCCTACCAAAGTTCTGTCCAGCTGAACCATCATTTAATTTTTCCTCGAGGGAAGTGGATTTGAAAATGACGTTTTGCTAGACATTTTGATTACTTTATGTGCCTATGCACCAATTCTCAGTGATTTGTGTACATGGACACTAGAATATGTTTGCTACTTTACAGTTCATTGTTGACTTCAGCTTGACTCAGCTTGCCCCATTCATTCTGTTCTAATGTAGATCTAAATCAGTCGTCATAATAATATTTAGACTGAGTGAACACTCAATGCATGATAACTCTGTGTTGTGTTAAAAATTACTATATGCTGTTACTACATACAGTGCTACTTTATAAAAGCCATGATAACTACAAACTCTACTACTGCAGGAAATAGTAAAAAGTTGTAAAGCTGTTAAAGATTTGGAAAGTCTTAAGTGATGGCAAGCGGCCAAGTGTGAGTAGAAAACTTAGGTTGATAATTGAATATGCTCAAATGATCAGGGTGTGTCAGAACATTCCAATTCATGTTGTTAAGGATTTGCTTTGTTTGCATTTAACCTTGCAATCTCTGTTAATGTTTTTAAATGTTTCTAATTAAAAACCTGGATATTAAAATAGAGTCAAAGTCATCTCTTTGTAGATATTACCATACCAAATATGGTTGACAAATCCAGGATTGTCTTAGTTTCGGTCTTCTGGAAGTTCGCCAAGTTTGGTTAGTAAGTGGGGACCTAAACCTGGCACAGCACACACTGGTGAGAAATTATTGTGCACGAATGATTGTATTGTGAGCCACTGCCAAGAGATGTAGTCACTTTGAAATAAGGAAATCTGATCAGTCATAGTGACTGCCTGTTTTAGTTTGTATAATTTTTCTGTTGGATGTCTTACCTTAATAAGTTGCAAGAAGAAATTGTAAGTACCCATGAATAAGAGACTTTTTTTCTTTTGGGCCTGTCACCGTACTTTGGGTTTCTTTTGCTTGTTGCACCAGATTTTAATGGTTTATTTAAACGATGCAGAACTAACTTAACAGCATCTTATATACTTTGTTCAGATGAGTTAAATAACTTATTTCTACATAATAAACACCTTGCAACAGTCCCACCAGTGTTATAACAAAATCTTTTCATTGAACATTGATTAAAGAAAGGAAATTGATACTGCACTTGTCATGATTACACCCCAAAATTGACCGGAAAAATGTCTGCAAAATGTTCAATCAGGTGTTGATAATAATTGTTTTAATGAAAAGTAAAATCTTGTAATTCTGAATCCGTCATGGCATCATGTCCTGTCCCTGGGTATGATCTTTTTTTTCAAGAAAGTGGGTTTACATAAATTTTGTTATGTGATGTTAAGGTATGGTACTGCATTTAATAATTGAGTAACTTAAGTTGTGTACTGATTTCCAAGGATGTATCATTTGGACTAACCCTTTTCTATAGTTACCTCCCAATATAGTATGCCAAATAAATAACAAGTTTGTTCTTATTTATAAGGAACTTTGAGGTTCACCATTTTCATTTCAACTCTCAAGAAATAGCCATTTGTGCTTGGCTTTTTGAGAGAAAATTGCGTTATTAAATCTGAAGTGCTGATTGAAGAGTGCTTGGGCATAAGCACTTGGGCAACATGGTTCAGTGGTTAGTACTGTTGCCTCACAGCACCAGGGATCCAGGTTTGATTCTGTCCTCGGGCGACTATCTTTGTAGAGTTTGTCCATTCTCCCTGTCTGTGTGGGTTTCCTCCAAGTGCTCCAGTTTCCTCCCACAGTCCAAAGACATGCAGGTTAGGTGGATTGGCCATGCTAAATTGCCCACAGTGTCTAGGTATATGCAGCCTAGATGAATTAGCCATGGAAAATGCAGGGTTACAGGGATAGGGTGGGATGCTATTCAAAGGGTTGGTATGGATTCGCTGGACCAAATATCCTGCTTCCACACAGTAGGGATTGTAGATTCCATGAAAAAGCAGGAAACATGACTTTGTTTATGATCAGCCTCACACTTTTATTTATTTACTTAAATTGTGCAATCAGCCTTGCTTTATTCAATGTTAAAAACTGGTGTGAAGGAAGAATTTCAACTTAATTGTTTTATATTTCATTTATTGATATATGATAAAAAACCCAAACTTGGATGTATTTTATGATCTCTAGTAGAGTTGAAAGAAATAGTAGAGTCTGAGGTAACCAGAGGTATATTAACCTAGTGTGGAATTACTGATTTTTATTTTCCTCCCAACCTCTAGTTATCGTGTGTTCTGCCTATTGGGAGATGGAGAATCATCTGAAGGCTCAGTCTGGGAGGCAATGGCATTTGCTTCTCACTACAGACTTGACAATTTATTGGCTATTATTGATGTGAACCGCCTGGGTCAAAGCGACCCTGCTCCACTGCAGCACAAAGTTGAAGTCTACCGCAAACGTTGCGAAGCTTTTGGGTAAGTTTTCAACTTGGTAGTTCATATTCAGTATTTCAGGTGATGACTGCTACAGACGTAAACAGAGAATAATATTTGACCTTTCAACTGTGGATACTTGAATAGGAATCTAGGCTGTAGCTTACAGAGGACGTAACACCGTGAATAAAATTTCTAAATGTAAAACTAATGAGTTATAAACTTCAAAATCCAGAGCAATATCAACTTTTTGTGGCACTTTTAATTGATTTTCTCTTGAGAGGTTCGATAGTTAATAAACCAAATCAAATCACATAATATAATAATAGAATGGAATGATAGTCATAGACTGAGATCAAGAGGAATTTCTTCACCTGGAGGGTGATGAATCTGTGGAACTCATTGTCGCGGAAGGCAGTGGAGGCCAAGTCATTGAATGCATTTAAGGTTTTTGATTGGTAAGGGGATGAAGGGTTATAGGGAGAGGGCAGGAGAATTGGGTTGAGAAACATATCATTCATGATCAAATGGTAGCATAGAATCGATGGGCCAAATGGCCTAATTCTGCTGCTACAACTTTATAGTCTTAGATGTTAGCGCTATTATGTATTTGCCATGTTTTTGATTTGAAACTTCATGAGACACTTTTCATGGTGAGTGGTAGTGTTAAGATAGGAAAGAAGATTTTACAGTTACACCATGCAAAATTTGATCTGAAAAGAACAAAGGCTACCTTAAGAGTTCCTTGGAATTTGTAGGCCTCAACATCTGACTACATTACTCCAACACAGCAACCCGTTCTGCAGTTGACTAATCAGCAGCAGGTATGTCAACTCGTACTGATCCCCTACAAACACATGTCCTGACCATTTGGTAGGAAGGATGGCATGTATACATTCTCCACTATACATTTTTACCTCTTTCACTTGTTCATATCTTCCTGCTTTCATTATTGATTCAAATAAAGGACCTCAAGTTGAATTAAAAATACTTTTATCTACCATACTTGCTTTTCAGTTCCTTGGATTGCTAAATGTGCTCTCTAATGATTCCCTTAATGTGCAAGTACTTGAGCTAGGCAATTTGATGTAATTTGGAATGTGTTAGATCCTAAATAATGCATCAATTGTTTTATTTTAACCAGAAGACTTAATGAAGCACTTAGAAAATCATAACGTGATCAGACAAAATCAGCTCTCCCATGCATCCTGCAACCAGCACATTGCTCAAAAATATCTGATTGTTTATTTAATTCTTGTTTCTTGGATTGTTTTTGCTGTGAGCAAATTGATTTCCCAGGTTTCCTACATTTGTATCAGTAACTAAAAGTCAAAATTACTTCATTTGCTGTAAAATGTTTTGAAAATTCTGATTAATAATCTACTTATAAGGTGTAATAGTTATACTGGCTTTTTGCATCATCTAATTGCAGAGAAGTAGAAATTAGCTGAATTCAAATATCAAATCCAAAGTGTTTCATTTACAGTATTTCCAAAGTTGTTGCTTTGAATTTTATTACAACAAAAATAAAAGTGTAGAGACTGAGAAATTCATAAAAGGTATTCCAGAGCATGGGACTTCAGTGGCTGAAGCCAGTGTTCAGGTGAAATGAATGGGAGGATAGGATGTTGCACAGGAGAGCATTGGAACAGTTGGGTTTGGAATTGGTATGGATGAAGGTTCAAATGGCAGATGGGCTGAGGTAGGGACAACAATGAATTGTTTTCGAAGGTCAAAGTGGGTGGTGGTGTCATAGTGCTAATATTACTGGACTAGTAATCCAGAACCACAAGTTAATGTTCTGGGGACATGGGTTAAGATCCCACTATGGCAGTTAGTGAAATTTGAATTTAGCAAAAATCTGAAATAAAATGTTGGACTCATAGTGACCGTATGACCACTGTTGATTGTGGTAAAAATCCATCATTTCACTAATGCCCTTCAGGCAGTAAATGCTTGCATGATAGATGATGGCAACATTCCATGAATGAATTTTTAAAAGGTTGTCTTTGTGATAGTTAGTATAAGAGGTCAGAAGCTTCCTTCTGGATTCAGATAGAATGCTGAGCTTGTAAACACACTGAGACTATGACTAGGGATGGAATGATTAGCAGGAGTATAGATTTAGCAAATAAGCCTGAAAATTATTTCTTTTTCTGTTTATGTTCTTTCGAGCAAATCTAACCTTTTTAATCAGCTAAAGAACTTTTTTCACCTGAAATTACTTTCCTTTATTCCGTTTTTAAACTGCCTCTACTGCACATACTACATGTGTATTCCTTAGCAAATACATTGTATAGCAGGAAACTGACAAAGGTACTATGCATTTATCTCTCTATGTTTTACTGCTCAGATTAGTGTTTGAGTTGAGTTGTTATGGTTTAATTATGAATTCTAAACTCTTACGTACAGCTGGACTACTGAAGTGGTAGATGGGCACAGTGTTGATGAACTCTGCAAAGCCTTTTGGCAGGCCACCATGGTCGAAAACAAGCCATGTGTTATTATTGCTAAGACCACTAAAGGAAAAGGCATTGAAGGTATAATGAATACATACCGTTTTTTATGGAACTGTTTAGTTTTGTTTTAGAGAATTAGTGAATGCACTAAAGTGAAAGCAAACACATCACTCTCTGTATTTTTGTTTCCCAAAGATCAGGCCTACATTATAATCATGCCCACTGAAACTGTGTACTTGTATATTTATACAACTGGTACTCCAGCCTAAAATTCACGTTCCACTGTGTGGAGGTCAGAACTTCATTCAGCAGCTGAAGTTGCAGTTACACAATTCTGGAGGGATGGAAATTCAAAAGGGATGTGTCTGTTAAGCTACTAATGAAAAGTGGGCTTTTCAATGTGCAGAGATTTTTAAACCCAGGGCAAAAAAAAACAGTCCGAAGCAGATTTATATTTTGGGAGGACTGTGGGCTGCTGTAAGATTTGCAACTGCTGCTCAGAATGTGAGCACTGATTGCATAATCATGTACTCATGATGTGAACAAACTCAGTAAAGTGGAATCTTTCTATTCTTGAAATTACTGGTATACAAGGCAGTACATACATGAGTATGATCAGAAATATCATCAATATTCAATATTGATAATTGTAAAGTGGTAAGTTTTGGCAGAACGAGTAAGGACACCATGTGTTTTGAAGTATAAGAGCAAAGAGATCGAGGGACACATCATTTGGCAAAGAATAAAAACCACATTGTGGCAAATAATATTGTGTTAAGAGGTGAAGAGGACACTCAATAGAGCATAACTCTTCCATTCTATTAATTCAACATTATTACATTTGTATGGGCTGTTCCTTGAGGCTTGTTTGAAGCCTCATAACTACAGAATTAGAAAAAGAAAGCTCAATTAGGAGCTTTGATTTTGGTGAAGGGCCTCAGATCAACCTACATTAAACGACCTGCTCTGATACCATGTTTTGACAGCAGTGACAAATGCCATCACAGATGCTGATGTGATCTATAATATTGTAAATAAAAAATTCAATTTGCCCTTGTGTTCTCCCATGCCCCCACCCCCACCAATGTAAACAGTTTAAAAAAAATTGAGTATGACAGACAAAATTAATTGTAATATGATAAGATATAAGGAAAAAACTTTTGCCTGTTTCAGTTTGGAACTTGTATGCTTACTTAACTTGGTAATGGAAATGCATGACATGTGATATGGATGAGTTTCAAAATTGGAATTTTCCTGTTTGTAATGTCACATTATTCCAGAAAGTCAGAGTTACTGACCAGAAAGTATATCTCAGTGTGTACTGTGAATGCTGAATCCTGAACATTATGTTTGATATGCAGTGAGAATCTCCTGAATGATGTATGTACAGTTTGAGGATCAGAGGCAGAACTTCTCGATGGTATATCACACCACATCGACCAGGATTTGATCTGTGACTTTTCAAGCCACAATTCTTTTTGCCTTTGACATTATGCATATATATGGTATTAGCTTTCAATATTTCAAATGTTTTCAGGTGTTGAGGATAAAGAGAATTGGCATGGCAAGGCCATTCCAAAAGATAAACTGCAAGAAACTATTCAAGCAATCAAATGTAGGATCCTGGAGGGCAAGAAACTTACCCCAGGGCAGCCAGTGGAAAATGCACCAAATGTGAATATTGAAGACATCCAACTTGGTGCACCACCCAAATATAAGCATGCCGAAAAGGTAAACAATCATACTAACATTATACATCTTTAAAATTCTGCCACAGATGATCTAGAACCTTGGCTGCACAGACAATGGGTTTGAAATGCATTCAGTCTGGGAGGGTTTGGTGATCAGATCACCCAGTATTTGTGGCAAGGTGGTGGGGATTAAGGTAGAACATGAGCTCACTGGTTTTCATTTGAAAAGTAAAGCCTCATAGTGATGAAACCACATTTTTTTTTTCTTGGGAATGGGGCATATTGGTGTCAGTTCCTGGACCAGAAAGCTGCCCTAAATGCTGCTGTGGGTCTTTTGAAATCATTAGGACAATTCTGATAAAACATTCAATTAGAGAAGGGATCACTTGATTTAAAATCAGTGTTTGCACTTTGGTATTGAAAAAAAATTTCTTTCTTTATATGTTTGACCCTTCATGAACCTTCAGACCCATTATTCAAGTGGCTCAGTTCTTTTTTATTCACTCATGGATGGCGAGTATTTCTTGCCTGTCCTTAGTTACCTTTAAAAGATGGTGGTGAGCTGCGTTCTTGAACTGCTGCAGTCTGTGTGCTGTTGGTAGACGCTCACTGCCCTTAGGGAATTCCAGGATTTTGACTGAACAACGCTGAGGGAACAGCAATGTATTTTTAAGTCAGTATGTTGAGTGGCTTGGAGGGGAGCTTGCAGGTGGTGATGTTCCCATGTAACTGGTGCTGTTATCTTTCTAGATGGAAGTGGTCATGGTTTGGAAGGTGCTGTTTTGGATCGTTGATGAATACGTGCAGTGCATCTTGTAGAGTGTCGGTATTGGAAGGAATGATTGTTTATGGATGTGCTGCCAGTCATGCAGGCTGCTTTGTTCTAGATGGTGTCAAGAGTCTTGAGTGTTTTTGGAGCTACACCCCCGCAGGCAAGTGGGGAGTATTTGATCACAGTCCTGACTTGTGCTTTCAGGTGGTGGATAGACTTTGGGGAGTCAGATGATAAGTAACTCGCTGTAGTAGTCCTAGCCTATGACATGCTTTTGTAGCCACTTTATTTATATGGCAAGTCCAGTTAAATCTCTGTTCAATGATAACTCCCAGGATGTTGATAGTGAGGAATTCAGCAATGATAACACCATTGAATGTCAACGGGTTGTAGTTAAATTGTTTTTGGAGGTGGTCATTGCCAAACATCTGTGTGGCACAATTGTTACTTGCCACTTGTCAGCCCAGGATATTGTCCAGATTGTGTTGCATTTGAACATGGACTGCTTCAGCTCCTGAAGAGTTACTAATAGTGCTAAACATTGTGTAAGCATCGGCGAACATCCCCGCTTCTGACCTTATGATGGGGAAAGGTCATTGATGAAGTCGCTGAAGAGGATTGGGCCGAGAACACTACCCTGAGGAGCTCTTCCTATTAGAGGTGCTCTGGAACTCAGATGACTGACTTCCGACAACTACAACAATCTTTGTATGTTCCAGGTGTGACTCCAACTGGCGGAGAGTTTGCCCCCTGATTCCCATTGATTCCAGTTTTGCTAGGGCTCCTAATGCCACACTCGTTCAAATACAGCCCTGATATCAAGATTTGTTTCTCTGACTCACTTCTGAAATTCAGCTGTTTTGTCCATTTTTGAACCAAGGCTGTATTGACGTCAGTAACTTAGTGGGCCTGGTGGAATCCAAAGTGGGCTTCATTTAGCAAGTTATTGCTAAGCAAGTGCAGCTTGATAGTATAGTTGCTGACAATTTCCATCATTTTTCACTGATGTTTGAGGGTAGACTGATGGGGTGGTAATTGCTTTGTTGGATTTGTCCTGCTTTTTTGTGTACAGGACATAGCTGGGCAATTTTACATAGAGCAGATGCCAGTGTTGTAACTGAACTGGAACAGCTTGGCAAGGGAAACAGCAAGTTCTGGAGCACAAGTCTTTAGTGCTATTGACAGAACGTCGTTGGGACCCATAGTCTTTGCAGTATCTATTGTATCTAACCATTTCTTGATATCACATGGATTGAACTGGTTGAAGACTGGGGACCAGTGGAGGAGGCCGAAATGGGTTGACACTTCTAGATGAAGATTGCTGCAAATGCTTCCGCCTTATGTTTTGCACTGATATGTTGGGCTGTTCCATCATTGAGGATGGGAATATTTGTGGAGTCTCCACCTCCAGTGAGTTGTTTATTGTTCACCACATTCGCAACTGGATGTGGCAGGATTCCAGATCTTAGATCTGATCCATTGGTTGAGGGGCCACTTAGATCTGCCTATCACTTGCTGCTTATGCTGTTTGACATGTAAGTAGTTTTGTTTGTTAGCTGCACCAGGTTGACACCTCATTTTTAGGTATGCCTGGTCCTGCTCTTGGCATCCCCTCCTGCACTCTCCATTGAACCAGGGTTGATCCCCTGGCTTGATGGTAATGGATATATGCTGGGCCATGATTGCAGATTGTGCTGGAGTACAATTTTGCTGCTGTTGATGGCCCACAGTGCTTAATAGATGCCCAGTCTTGATTTGACAGCTCTGTTCGAAGTCTGTCCCATTTAGCATGGTGATAGTGCTGCACAACACGATGGGAGCATTCTCAATTTGGAAGCAGGACTTCATCTCCACAAGGTCTGTGTGGTGGTCACCCTTAGAGATACGATCATGGACAGATGCATCTGCAGCTGGCAGATTGGCGTGGATGAGGTCAGGTATATTTTTCCCTCTTGTTGATTTCCTCACTACCTGCCACAGATCCAATCTAGCAGCTATGTCCTTCAGGACACAACCAGCTGGATCAGTAGTGCTGCGGTAGAGCTGCTGTTGGTGGTGGATATTGAACTCCCTGCTCGGACTACATTTTGTGCCCTTGTCATCCTCAATACTCCCTCCAAGTGTGGTTCAATATGGAGGAGTACTGATTCATCAGTGATTGGAAGATGGTATGTGGTAATCAGCAGGAGGTTTCCTTGCCCATGTTTAACCTGAAGCTGTGAGACTTCACTGGGTCCAGTGTCAATGTTGAGGAGTCCAGGGCAACTCCCTTCCAACTGTCTACTAATGTGCCGCCACATCTGCTGGGTCTGTCCTGCTAGTAGGACCAGAGATATCCAGTGATGATAGTGTCTTTTAGGTATGTGAGTATGATTATGTCAGGTTTTTGTTTGATTAGTCTGTGAGACAGCTCTCCCAATTTTGACATTAGCCCCCAGATTTTAATAATGAGGGCTTTGCAGGGTCAATAGGGCTGTTTCTACCATTGTCGTTTCTGGTGCATAGGTCGCTGGCAGGTGGTCTGTCCAGTTTCATTTCTTTGTTGGAACTTCATAGTGATTGATACTACTGAGTGGCTTGCTGGGCCATTTCAGAGAGCAGTGGAGAGTCAACCACATTGCTGTTGCTCTGAAGATTTTTGCGGTGCATCTGGTGTCAAATGTACATGTGGCCTGCTTACTCCAACTATAGAAGTAACTATGTTCTCCTAATTTGTGGTGAAGTCTCTGTTTGTCATCATAAGCGACACACAGGCTTACTTTACGATAATTCAAGTGGTAGTATGAGGAGGAGCAGATTGCGTAATCACTGTCAAAAGATAATTTAATGAACACATGGAAAAAGAAATAATTGCTGTGCTGTGGGCAATGATTGGAAGAATGGGATTAATTTTCAAAGACCCAGAATTGTCATGGTCGGCCAAAAAGCCTCCTTGTGTGTGGGAATGGCAGGGAACATAGCGATATCTTCCAAACCCATCTGGGAAGGTCCATCCTCACCTTTGAAGAATTAGCAGCATTAGAAATCTAGAGCTGTAGTCTGATATTCCCTGCTTCTCCACAAACTGCACCAATTGAGTTAGCATTGGAAATCACATAAAGATTGTTTTTAAAGAGCAAGCTGAGCAACATTGTTGAAAAATCCAAGTCATTTTAACTAAAGGGAATGGACTAGCTATTTTGCCCTTTAGTAATCCTGTGGAATAAGCAGAGCAATGTCAGAATTGGTTTTTTGTTTAATACTGTGTTGTTAAACTAGAATCAGAAGTAATTCAGGCAAAATGTGGGATGCAAGTCCATCACAGAATCCAAGTTGAAATTTCGTGACTCACACCTCGTGAATTGAGCCAAAAGTGGTGATTCTTGCAACTCAACATTTTTTTTTCCAGTTGTAGTTTGATCCCAGTATATTTTAAATACTGCAAACTAGTGAGAAATGGAGAAAAGCTTGATCCAGATCCAGACTGCATAGAGTGAAAAACATGAAATCGTGTAATTGTGTTATAGCTATGTGCTTATGCAATTCAGTTCATTTACATCCTTTTTGGAGGCTTCAGATGCCCCACAGATGATTTCTGTGTAATTTCTTGTTGCTTAATTACAGTGTATTTAATCACATGTTTCTATTTTCATGAAGTTTTCTCATGTTTTGATAAATAGTTCCACTTTTGGGGCATGTGTATTGCATGTAAATATTTTACGTAAGGCATTGAAGAGTCTCTGTGCATGTCACTTTGTAGCTCTGAGGGTTGAAACAGAGACATTTCATGGACATCAAAGGAAGTTCCTTCACTCACATTCCCCCCCCACCCAAAACACATTTTATTCACTCACCCTCAAGATAAATCAGCAACACACCTCCTCAAAAGGCATAACCTCGGTGCTGTATCAAGGCTTCACTTTTTTTTGAAAAGAAAGTCAAATATTCATGTATTATTAAGTGCCATTTAACTTTTTCTAATTCTTCCAGGTAGCCACGCGAAAAGCCTTTGGAACTGCCCTGGCAAAAATAGGTCGTAGCAATGACCGTGTTATTGCTTTAGATGGTGATACAAAGAACTCAACATTTTCAGAAATGTTTAAAAAGGATTATCCCAAGCGTTATATTGAGTGTTTCATAGCAGAACAGAACATGGTAAATTTTATTTTGCTTCCTTATTTTCTTAATTTTCACAGACAACAGGAGTAGATGAATTCCACTTAACATGGCCAAAAGCAGAAATTGCTGGAGAAGGTCAGAAGGTCTGGCACGATCTGTTTAGAGAAAGCAGAGCTAATGTTCTGAGTGTAATGACCATTCTTCAGAACAATCAGTTCTGAAGCTGCCAGACCTGCTGAGTTTCTCCAGAAATATCGTTTTGTTTAAAATCTTCAGCATCTGCAGTTCTTTGTTTTATTCTACATAACATTGAAAGTGGAACTAAAATATACACTGGATTGATCTTTTTAACTTTTCTTGATATTTTGTACTGTTTACCTTTTCCTGTCAGTCTGTTATCCATGCCTAGTGCTTCTGCAGTTGAGAGAGCTTGCCTCTGGGCTTCCATCAATATATTCATCAACTACTTTCTGACTTTTTTTTTGGCAACAAGGTTAAGAGTGGCATTGTCCTTTTTTGTCAAAATAGTTTATAAAATACATAGATTAGAAAATCCAGAGAATATCAGATTTGCTCCTTTGTATTCTTCAGTTTAAATATTTCAGAGTTGCATGATCTTGCTCCATTTGATAGAATTTCCTGCTTGATTTTACTTCACCATTTCATGTAAACATCTTGTGACGAATAGTAAGTGGAAGGAAATGAAGGGAAAGTGAACTTTTCTTTCATTCTGCTTTTGCTGCTGGCCAAATAATTATTATTGACCCTGCATTTCATTTACAGGTAAGTGTTGGTATTGGCTGTTGTGCACGGAACAGGACTGTTCCATTTGTCAGCACTTTTTCTACTTTTTTCTCCCGAGCATTTGATCAAATTCGCATGGCAGCAATTTCTGAAAGCAATATCAATCTTGTTGGATCCCACTGTGGTGTCTCAATTGGTGAGTTTAATTTTACTTACTTTACAAGACTAATTGCTAATTATTCAGGAAGATCATCCCTTATTGTCCTTCTGCATCATTATACCTGTCTTGAAGACTGAGCTTGCAGAGGAGTTTAGTAGCTTGTGTAAGTGATCGTATTTTGCACATAAGTGTAGAAAACAGTTGTTAGCTGGTTGTTTAATTATCTTGAACTCACTTAAAAGTCCAGACATTCACTTCCAGTAGAGGTCATGGACAGTGATTGAGTGCAAGACATAGTTGACCTTCCTATGGTATATTGTCCTTATTGGCTAACTGAACAAAATCTAAGCTTGAATCTTACATGTTGCTGATCCTACAGTACATCTTCAATTTGAACATGAGAGATGGACTGTGAGAATGTTTCTAATGCTGCTAATTCTTCTAAGGTGAGGATGGACCTTCCCAGATGGGTTTGGAAGATATTGCTATGTTCCGTGCCATTCCCACAGCAACAATTTTTTATCCAAGTGATGCCGTGTCAACTGAGCGGGCAGTAGAGTTGGCTGCTAATACCAAGGTATAGAATGCACTGTTTAACAGTGCACTTTAAAATTGTGCTGTTCCTAATTGTTGACCAAATTTAAAGCCACACACTTTATTAAACCAATTCTCCCACTTTTTGAGAAATCATGTACTACATTCATTGTCTTCGTGATAGGTGGCATTAAACCACACATAAAGAAACAAATTGGTGATGGCAATCTGACAATGTTTGTTTTTATTTCCAGCAATGGAGGTCATGTGCTCAAAGTCATTCAACAGCTGTTGGTTTGGATGGTTTCAAATCTGAACAAAAATTTGAACCTACTGACAGACCCTATCATTTATTTATAAGAAAGAAAGATATGATTATAAGCTACCAATCATGGTTGTCCCAAAGCCCTTTGTGGGCAAATAATTACTTTCAAAGTACAGTCACTGCTTTGTAGCCATGTATAATTAAGTTGTGCACTGCAAGGCCCCAGAAAATAGGAAATTGGATAAAAAAAACCAAATAATATTTTTGTTGTACTTGGCTGAGCAATTACTGAAGTACCAAGATTGCTTTGGGTAAGGCCATGAAATCTTTCTGATCCACATCGACAGACATACCTGTTAACCATTCTAAAGACAACAACCCTGACAATATATTATTACTAATTTATGCATTGAAGTGCCAGTTTAGGTTGTGAGTTTAGGTTCTAGAGTAAAACTGCACCATCATTCTGACTTAAAGGTGATAGTCAATCAAATCTCAGAAGACACTGAAGCTATAAAAAGAGACGAATTTCCAAATCAACAAAAATAAACTGGACAATATTACACAAATTCAAACTTCTACTGTAATAAACAAACTAAAATCAAAATCGATTAAACATTAACAAACAGGGAACTATTACAATACAGTTAAAAAATGCTACTTTTGCATTAATTAACAAAAACAATCAAGTTGAATCTTCTGAGCACTTTTGTTGTGTTGTTGAGCTATCCATGGTTGAAGATAACATAAAATGGTCAACCATGGTTTTTAGCTAACATAAGATGGCTGAAGAGATTTATTAGTGGAACACAGCAGTTTCCACGGTCAGAATCATGGCCTTCATACCCATGGCAGCCAGATAAGACAAGGAAATGTCTTGTTGATACCAATAGCTTTGGACATGGAGAATAGTTGTGATAAGAACCACTTTGGAAAAACATTCAGAGGCCCTTTTTACTGGCTAGTTCAAAGTTTAGAGAAGAGTCAGATCCCACAATAATGAAGACTTTTTAAATAAACCTGTATGAGTATGTTGAAATTTATAAATGCGACGAACAAACTAGCATCACGTGATTTAACTGTATTCATCTAAGGCAACCTTAGATAGTAAAGAGAAACCTCCATCCTGCTAACAGTGGGGATTGAACCATGTCAACGCTGGAATGTACCTGATAGCAGGAAGGACAAATAATGGGTGCGGTGTGAGAGAGCCTAAGAATAGATAATAACGATGTCTAGCAAACATCATGAGAACATGGGAAGACCTAGGGCTATCCATGAAGTTGACCATCATTGATCATGTATACGCAGGGTTGGATGTTTAGGATGGAGGGAATGTGGCTAACACTAACGTCAATGTTGCATGTAATCTTTGTAATGCAGAATGTATAAATATCCCGTACTTTAATGGGAGAGTCAGTGTATGTTGAAGTCTGTCTCCAAGAGATCTCTCCCACACTGTATTGTTAAGGACCCCCGCAGCACTTAATACTCCTCTTTAAAATCTCTCTGTAACAGTGCACAGTGGTTCTGATACATTTACAGCATTACGAGACCAAGTCCCGTGTTATTCCTTGCTCAACAACAGACGTGCTTCTCCCTGTAGTCTGGAGTCCTTTCCTCTTATAGTCTTCCAGATCTGGCTTCCATGAGCAAGAACGAATGCAGCAACTGCTTATTTCTTGAATCTCAGAGTCCATTAGTTCTAGCTCCTTCCTTTCGAACAGAACACTGAGTCTTACAAGCAGCCTGTTTGTTTGAAAGCACATACAAGTCCTCCTGTGCCCTTCCTGAAAGCAGCTGCCTTGTTTTTTCACGTAATTGTAGTTGCTTCCTTACCTTGTCCACCTCTCTGTTGCAAACAAATGTGTTATTGTATATGGGTTTGCTGTCAGTAGGTTTTTGTTCGTGTTTCACCTGCGTGGAAGTCAGATCATGTAGGCATGTCTTTGAACTTGGATGCTTTTAGAATTCGAAGTTTTACCATAAGTTGAAGGAGATATTTGGAAACACAACCATCGTGTAATGTCCAGCATTCATAACACAGTGCTACCACAAAATCATACTGTCATTATACATAGAGTGCTTTCAATGTAAAATCTGTTAGCAGTAGTGAAAAATCTTCAAATTCGTGAATAGCACATCTTGCCGAAGTTTGGCACGATGCATATACTTAACTCTTCGTAGTTATATCCATTATTTATTTTTCTCTTCATTTAGAATCAGGACTAGATTTTTAAAATCTTCTACATAGATAAAGTTGCAAGATTTGAATCCTTCATAACTGAATCCTTGCTTTATGCCTCCAGGGTATTTGCTTTATACGAACCAGCCGACCAGAAACTACAATAATTTATAAAAATACTGAAGTCTTTGAAGTGGGAAAAGCTAAGGTAGGTGATGAAACAAAAAGAATTTGTACAAATTCTTTAATTCTATGCATTAGTTTCTTGATTTTGCTCCAGTGTCTGAATGAGCATTCAGCTACTGTTAACTGGCAAACATGATCAGGAATTTGCTGTTTCAAAGACTGTTGCAGTTTATCTTGAATTGGTTGTGTAAGATTATAACGAAGTCAGCCAGGTGGACATCATAGAATATGAGTTCCCTGATTGGGGCTATTAATCTGGTCCAATCAGGGAGCCCAGGTGACGGATAAAAACAGGAGTGTCAGAAACCTTGTTTACTGACAGCTGGCTGAGAGGGAGCGGGATCAGTGTCAAGGACTTGAAACATGTAATAAAGGATGACTCGGTGATGAGATACCGGCCTCTGTGGAGTGATATCAGTGGCAACAAGAGTGAAGCACGCTCCTGTAGAAATTCGTTTGGAGCAGTTGTCTTTGAGTTGGGGTAAGCATTTCTGGCATCATACCGTTATTTGGGAAGCTTGATTCATTCAATCCTGCCGTCAAAGACTGTGCCCAGTTTTTGGAAAGAATGTGTTTTCTTTTCCAGGCAAATGACATTGGGGCAGATGCAAAGCAACGAGTAATTTCCCTGACAGTTTGTGGACCTGCAGCTTTTTTGGTTATTAGGAGCCTAACTTTCCCTGAGGGACTAGATACTAAAACCTTTCAAGAGTTGATGGAAGATTTAAGGAATATTATGACGACAAGTGTTCTCTAATTCTGAGATGCAATTGGGAATCTATTCTTGGATTTTTAACAAGATTAAGATGACTGGCAGAGTCATGTGACTTTGGTTTAACCCTTAATGAAATGCTGAGAGACCGTTTGATGTATGGGATTAAAGAAGTAACCATGCAAAAGCATCTCTTAGCTGAAGCCCATCTGGACTTCAAATAGGCACTACAACTGGCTTTATCAGTGGAAAATGCAGCAAGTGGAGCGTATGAGTTGCAGGGTATTCTGATGGAAGTGGACCCTCGCCAGTCCGACACAACTTGGGGAACACCACCTTTGAGAAGACAATTGCATAGCCTCACTCAGGAGATATCCTGAACAAGGGGACTCTCGGTCAACCCACACCAAAACAAAGCCAAGCTTTGGTCAAATGGTTAAAAGTTTTCTTCAGGATCCGGGCCAGCAAGGCCATTGTGGTTGCTGCCGGTATGCGAACTTGAGACAGCAAAAGAGTCCCACTAGACCCAAATTGAGTAAGCGACCTCTTGGGCTGCTATCCAGGAGAGTGCAGACCCTGGGAAGTCCAGTTCCATCTGGTTTGGAACGTTAAATTGCTTAGCAAAATGCAAATCTGAACCAGTCAAAATAAACATCTGGTTAAATGGTCACCAGGTTTTAATGGAGGTCGATACCGGCGTGGTTGTTTCCGTGATTGCAGAACCAGTTGTTAACAAAATTCACTCTGGACTCCAACCCTTAGGTATGGACAAGACCTTGGCTAGACTAAGAACCTATGCTGGGGAATATTTACAGATTGAGGGTATAACTTCAGTTCCATTCTCTTAGGAGAAGCAGCTGATTGTACTAAAAGGCTCAGGTCAAAGCTTGTTGGGGCAAAATTGGTTGAAAAAGATTCATCTAGATTGGCTCAGCATTTTTCAAGTAGGAGGTGGTTGCCTCCGTGAAGTCCCAATTAAATACCCAGAAGATTTTCAGGAAATTCTAGGGACTATCGGAGAGGCCAAGGCCACGTTGCATGTAGAGCAGGAAGCAACTTAAAGATTCTGCAAGGCCCGGCCAGTTTCATTTCTGTCATTGTCCCCATGTTTGACAAATGAACTCTGTGCATGTCCAACCATTTCGAGTAGGTATTCACAATGACCAAGAACATTGAGCCCATGAAAGGACCTGTACAGTCGACGTTTAACCCAGTCCAGGATTTATCTGGCCTCTGCCATAAATGTGAGAGAGATGCTGGCAGTAAGTTAGCCATAGTAAAAAGCCCATGTGGAGTTATGGGGTAACAAGGTGTAGAGCTGGATGAACACAGCAGGCCAAGCAGCATCAGAAGAGCAGGAAAGCTGACGTTTCGGGCCTAAACCCTGGAGTTATGGGAGTGGTTTGGATCTGGGTGAAATGCTGTTCGGAGAATTGGTGCAGACTCAGTGGGCCAAATGGCTTCTTTCTGCCCTGTAGGGATTCTATGTCTTAATTCCCTAGAATGAGCTAAGTTGCACAATTATTCACAGCAATGACACAGTGTGGAGCTGGAGGAACACAGCAGGCCAGGCA